CCTCTATTCTTCAGGCCATCTCAGAGGCCCAGACTCAGAAAGTCATGAATGAGCTTACAATGTAAGCATGCCACTTCACCTCCTCTAAAGAAGCTGACGCAACTCAACTGCATGGTCTATGCCCAGGAGGCCAAATGGAACACATGGACGAAGAGAGAGCTGTGGGTACCTTGAACTTGGTGGGGTGGTTGTCTGGGATGCTATCTCTGTTCAGGCAGCTGCAGCAGCTCCCCATGGTGTCAGAAAAGCCAGCCTACCCTAAGGAAAAACATAAGGTTCAGGCATGTCATCAAGGACCACTCCAAAAAGTCTGCTCTGGGGAATTCCAACAGAACCACCTCACTGTGATCATCTGCTCTGTCCAAGGGGCTGTTACGACACAGTCATTTTCCCAAGGAATTCACTCCCTGAATTCAGGGCCAGACACACATTGGATAAATATAAATTCAGGTTAGAATGTATTAAGGATTAGCATCGAGGGAAGGACAAAGAGAGCTTCTCAGAGGTCACGTTTGATTTGGACTTTGAGAAGTATGTAGGATTTGACCCATGGAGGCTTGCATGTTGCTATGATGCTAAACAGGTTTCAGCCGCATTTTCAGACTGTAACAGATTAGGAAAAAAGGCCTGGTGATCTACTTTGAAAAATCAGCCCATGAACACCCTATGGATCACAATAGTCTGATTGGCAAGTGACCATGGGGATGGTGCAGGAATGAGCAGAGCTCAATTGTGCAGGGAGTTTCCATGAGTTAGCGGGGCTGACTTGATGGCAGCTAACAATAACAACAGCGACAGGGAAGGGAAACCTGAGCAGCAGGAAAGGCATGGATCAAAGTAAGGATCCAGAAGAAGTGATTTGTATCAGGAGTTAGGTGCCAGCCTGGGGCTCCCACCCAGATTCAGCAAAGATACTATAACCTGGAACTCAGACCTTATACTTGTACTTATCTCCTTTTTAACTCCACCCATTACACACCATGCAAGTTCACTCTTCTCCTCCCTCATCACCTTCCCAACATCTACCTCAAATTTATCTTTCTGAGATTCTGTTTGAATGACCACTACATTATGGTCACAAAGACACAGTCCTAACTAAGATTGAACATTTAAAACAGAGCATGATTTTTGGAACTGACTGGGTATGCCTTATTAAAAAGAAAAATACTGGGTTTGCTCCCTTTTGTCTGAAGGGGAGACCAGAGGCCTTACTATTTGTTTTTTCCTCCTAGGATTATGGTACTTGGATTATATGACAACAGTCAAGCCTGTGCCAAGGACTGAGCGGTCCTATCCAGCCTGGAGTGACCTAAGGGAAGAAGCAAACATATAGACTGACACCAACCAGAACTTAAGGGGTTGCAACCAGATCCAAGAAGTGAGTCTGAGTTGGTGATCCTTCTAGAACTCCTTGAATGAGCCATACCTTCCATTTCTCCTAACGTGGGAAATTCCAGAAAACTAGCTTCTATACACAGCTCTTACCTCATCCAGGCCATTGAGAAGCTGCCCATGGGAGGGGCATGGGGAAGGACCCCCACTTTATTCTCCCTGTCCTTGGTGGGGCGTCATGGCAAGCAGTCTGCCGAGAAGTGACCTGGATCCCTCTGGGACACACCTAGGGCTCACCTAGTATAGGAGACAGACACCACAGGTTAGTGGAACCCTTCCATCTTCACCCCTGTTAATAAAGTTAACAGTGGGATACACATACCACTGAAGAGCAAGAGGTCAAGGTCAAGGGGACCACCCTCTAAGCTCCAGGGGCCCTGAGACTAGCATCAGTGAGTTTGAAGTCTGACCCAGCCCAAGACCTTTTAGGTTACCTCTAGCCGCCCTTTGAATCCTGTTAAAACCAATACCCAAAACACCATTCAATCTTTGCAGAGAACTCTGACTTTAAAAGAGCTTTCTCAAAATGACAGATGTGTTGGAAAAAGTCCTGGTTTAAGATTCAGGAAACCATTACTCTAGTCTGTGTTGTTGCTACTAAGTATCCCAAGAGACTGTCAAGTCAATCCCCAACATGCACCCCTCTTACTTCAAGGCCTTAGTTTTGATATATGAAACACCTGTAAACCATGAAGCTTCTAGCCTTAGGTAACTTCTGAAGTTAAGTGAATAGGATAAGTGTCAGTAAAAGTGCCATTTTCCTTTCAGGACAAGCTCCTTCAATCTTGTATTTGGGAGCATGGTAGACTTCCTGTTTCTCAAGGGCTGAAGAAGAGGGAAAGGAAAAAAAAAAAAAAAAACCCACCGCCGTCGAGTCAATTGACTCATAGCGACCCTCACTGGATTTCCCAGGCGGTAAATCTTTATGGAAGTAGATTGCTCTGTCTTCCTTCCCTGGAGTAGCTGATGGGTTTGAACTGCCAGCCTTCTGGTTAGCAGTCAATGCCTTAGGCACTGCGCCACCAGAAGGGGTGGAAATTTTAATATAATGGTAACAATAAACCAAAATTTCAGGGCATCTGAGTCCCAGGCAGACATGTTGACAAGCTGGACCCTGGAAACCCTTGAAATCCTACCCACCTGCTCTGACCAAACAGTATCAGCTCTCAGGGCCCCTTCCACCAGGCACTGTTGGACAATTTCCCAGGAAAAGGGCCCCCCACCTTCTTGGTATGGTTTCTTCTACGGAAGGAGGAAGCGGGCTGAGCAAAGTGCACATAGTCTAAAGGCAGGTGGTTGGGAAATTTATTGGGGTTTAAGCCACCAACAGTGTGTATGGGGGTGAAACCAAGGACTAACTCCAGGGTGCCTTTTCTGTCCCTCATCTCTAGGATATCCGGACACATCTTCAGCCCCAACGAGAAGGATTACATCAAATGGGATGGGGGGGGGTGGGCTCTGGTCTGGGACAAGTGTGGATTAAGCGCAGGAGTTAAAGAGGGTGAGGGAGACTCAGGATGTATGCAGGGTTTTGGGGGAACGTGGGCAAGATTTTTGGATATGTGCATGGTGTAAGAATTGGGGGTAAGAAGGATCAGAGGAATTTCCGGGTGGTGAAAACACTTGGGGGCATCCAGCAGAGAATGGTGGGCCTGTGGGCATATCGGGGGAATGCGCAGAAGGAGTGAGAGGATTCTGAGGGGTTCCAAGAGGTGCGATGGAGAGCAGGTGTGCCGGGGGCCGGGGGCTGCAGTGATTTTCTGGGCAGTGAGAGGAAGACTTAGGTTGTAGGGTAGTCAGGGGAATTTCTAGACAACGCAAAGGAATGGGGAAGGTGGGGCCGCGCATTACACCCTGGATCCCCGCCCCCAGCCCTGGGGCTCCGCCGCCCACCCGCCCAGGGCTTCCTACGGTGGGAGCGGAGACTGCGGCGCGGCGCGGTCTCAGCGGAGTCGCCTCTTCCCCGCCCCTCGGCGCCCCGACTCACATCGCCCCACGGCCCGGGCGGCGCCGGGCCCCGCTCCCGGGTCCCGTTGCAGCAGCCGCCGCCCGCCCGGAGCTAAGGCTTCCCAGCCCCGCCCCGCCCCGCAGCCGCGGGGTCGGAGGTCACCCGGCAGCACCAACGAGACGCTGCGGGCGGGCGGACCCAAGTGGGGGCGACAGGCAAGCAGCCTAGAAAGTCCCTTTGGAGGACTTTGCAGTCAGGAACAGGGAGCATGCGCAGACGCCAGAGGGCGCTCCCGGCCAGCAGCTGGAGCCTGGCAGGAGAGGGGCGGAGCCTGGGGAAAGGGGCGGAGCGCAAAGGGGCAGACTGGAGTAAGAGGTGTTCTCCCGGGAGCGAGAAAGGGATTGAATTTGTGGGGCAGGGGAGAAAAACAAAAGAGAGGGGAGTGAACTGCAGGGACAAAAGGAGAAAGGACCGGGAGGACCGTCCCAGGAAAAGAGAAGAGGCCCAGTGGGAACAACAGTTTGGGGGGCGGGGAACTTCAGGAAAGGGGCGGGGCTAGGATACCAGAAGGCGTGTCTGGGGGACCTGGTTACAGTCTAGAGTCCGCAGGAAGGCATTTCCATTCAGTGAATGGTCGAAAACCCAATATAAACACGTTTCGGGGTGTCTGCTCCGCGCCCGCGGGGGCCTGGCCCCGGCACTAAGCCCATAGCGCGGGGCCGCGGAGCCTGTACTCTTCCCACCCGAGACCCCGCAAACGCTTTCCCTCCTGTTTGCAACTCCAGGCCCCTCCCCGAACTGCCCCTGTCTTCTAACTCTGGAGGGGTGGGCGGGCCGGGACCGCCCGGGCCGCTGGGGAGGAAGAACCGTGCTACCGGGGCGGGCGCTGAGGCCTCGGGTGGAGACTGGGTGAAGGAACAAACGGCGGGGTCTGCCGAGAACCACCCAGACACCGGCGCGCGATGAAGGTGAGACGCCAGCATAGTCCCTGCCCCCTCCTCTAAACTCTCAGCTGCCATACAGGGAACCCCAGCAGACGCGGGCACCACACTGAGTCCACCGCCCCGGATTGAGCCACTCGAAATTCAAGAAAAACTTCGGGGATATGTCGAGAGAGTAGGGGAGGATACTTGTTGAGGCCGGATATTCCCCTCTCCTCCCTCCCACTGCCCGGAGGAACATTCCTGTTCTCTACCCTAGTGCCCTTGGTTTTTAGGGTTCTGCCCTCCTGCACTGGGGTGGATTGGGGAGGTCGAGCTCCTTAGCCAGGTTACACTGGCGCAGGGACGGAGGAGGGAGTAGAGCCCTGTCTCTTATAGGGGAGAGGGGAATTGTGGAAGTAGGGATATGGCAAGTTAGTAAAGAGGATTCAAGTGTTAGGCGGTGGTAGAGTCAGGTTGCCCTTGGGAGGTGGGGGAATAGAAGGGTGAGAGGAAGAGGACAGATTTCAGGGCATTGTTTATGTGTGAGACAATTTCATGCAAACGAGATCTAATCTGGAAGAGGGCGCAAGTGACTTTCTGGGACTCCGGATGCCTCTCCCTCCCGCCACTCACTAGGCTGGTAAGGGCCGCTTGCTGCCTAGAGCAGCAGAGTGCTGCTAGGGGAAATGGCTACTCCTGTCCCTGAATGACAACAGCCCATCCCAGTCCCCTTCCACAGGAAACCTACTGGAGGGACTGAACAGGAAGGAAGCAGGTGGGTGTGGAGACAGAAGGAGGGAGGGGTGGCACAGGACATCTAAAAGGGAGCTAATGAGGACTCAGGGCTGCCAAGCACTATAGCTGTCATGGTCCAAACGCTGGCCCCAACCCAAAGCTGGAATTTATAGAGGCCAGGGATTTGGTGATGGCCCTTCTTGTGACTGGCCTGTTAGAACCCATCCTAGCTCTCAGAGGCAGCCTTCTCAAAAGCTTTCCTCTATCTTCTATTGTGGCCCTTGGGCAAGTTAATTAACCTCAGTTAGTTTAACTAAAACCTCAAAGAATTGTTGTAAGGTTGTATTATGGGAAATACTAGAATAGTCCCTGGTCCAAAGTAAATGTTACAGAAAAGTTATTATTTTTTAAATTCCAGGGTACTGTTTATCTGCCCAGAGCTCCCCATTCTGCCTGGTTTCATTACCTGTCTCTTCTTTACCTCAGTAGTCTACTCCCCCACCCCTTGCAGATTCTGTGGGTCTATCAGGGCTTAGCCCAGAGGAGAACAGAAGAAATGTGCTTAGAATTACCCAATGAAATTTTTATAGATTGAAGACAGAAGCACAAGATTTTCTTCTGCCCTTGAGTTTATACAGACAAGGAGCTCAGAGAAACACAGGTAAAAGAGGGTAATATTAGGTGCTAGATCTTGGGGGAACCAATTGAACTTACTCCTGAAGCTCAGGGAAAGGAGAGAGTATGGACCAGATACAACGATGACAATGACAATGAGGAAGGTTTCCTGGTGAGGTGGTTCTTTAAGTAGGCCCAAGCCTACAGCAGGAAAAGTGGGGCCCATGTAGGGAGCAGCGAGGAAACAGACTCACTGGAGTGGTGAGTGCAAGATGAGGAATGGTGGGAGTTAAGGCTGGGGAAGTGGGGAGGAAAGGGCCAGCCAACCCCAAGAGTTCACCTGAAAGGCAAAATGCCCTCTCCTTAACTGTGGGCCTCTTGTCCTCCAACTGAATCTTGGGAGACACCAAAATTTGAGCTTCAGAAACTCTACGGCAGAAAGGCCTGGTCTCAAAGACCTGGTTCTGCCACTGATAAGCTGTGTTCACTGTGCTTTGGTTTGGCCATCTGTAAATGGGACAATCCCACCTAATTCACCTGGTTGTGGGAGGACTGAATGAGATGGTAATGCCTGTAAAGCACTTAGCACTACCTGGCACATTTTAAGGGCCCAGTAAACGGGACAATGCAATTGTCATTGCACAGATTTTGCCAACAATGTCAGTGCTGAACTCAGACTGGCCCCACAAAGGGGAAAGCCCCATCCTCAGGGAGCCAGACCCACCAGCCAACTCAGACAGTGACTCAGACCACCTGCCAGAGAAAGACCCAGAGGACATCTCTGCTCAGGTAGTAAAAGCCCCACCTTTTCCTCTGAGACCCACAGATTCTCTATCCCTTGGACCTCCCCTTTCCATCAACTGGGAGGTGGTTCTTTGTGCCCAACCTCTTGTGGCCCTTTTCTCTTTTCAGGAATCCTTATCTATGCAGTCCCCACAAGACATGAGATTTTCAGACTTAATTCACAGAAATGCACCCTCCTAGGGGCTCTGTGTTGTAAAAGCAGATCCAGAGAGGAAGAGGGTAGTTTCAGGCATAAGAAGAGAAGCTGTTGTAGGGGTGTGGGGCCTTCCCAATCTCTCTCAAATCAGACCACAACTGTGGGAGTAGGCCAGCTATCCTTGCTCTCAGCTATCTTGAAGGAGGATCCTCCAAAGGGAGGGAGGGAGGACTTGGAAATTGTTCTAAATTGGAGAATAGATGGCAATGAGGAAGGGAGGAAAGAAGAGGAAGAAAGGGAAACTAGCTTCACTCCTCACCTTCCGCCATGTCTCCTCAGGGTCCTGCGGTTCTGAGCTTGGGGCCCCCTCATCGGGACACCAGCACAGCTCCTAGCTGGCCTGAACTTCGGCTCCTCCTGCAACAGCTCCCTCCACAGGACAGTGATGTGGGTCTCCCTCTTCCCATCTTCCTTCTCTCTCCCTCTTTTAACTTACTGTGGAAAGAACCTTGGTCTAGAAGTCAGGAGACATGGATATAAGCCCACTTTGCCACTAACTGGAGGGAGTCACGCCCCTCCCCAGGCTGTTTCCACATCTACATGATGGGTGAAATAGCATCTGTTCTGCCACCACCACGCTTAGTTGAAGATCAAATGAAGACATGGACATGAACGACTTTGGAAACCAATAATGGCATGTACAAATGTAGAGTGTGATTGTTAAATATTTATTGAACCCCTACATGTGCCCAGCCTAACGACTTACAATTCACTTGGTGGAAGTGTATGAAATAATTGGAAAAAATATCAGAACAGGAAGTGATAATGAACTCTGGCTCACTGAAAGCAAAGACCTAAATATAAGGTGATAGGACTAAGTGCTGTGGGGCTGTCACTATCTGAAGGATAACTATTCCTGGGGGAGGTGACACTCAGATGGACTTCCATGAGCTCTATTCCCCCTTTTGCTCTCCTTCTCAATGCCCTTCTATGTCTCCTGTACCTCCCTGAGGTCTACATCCTTCCAGTCAAACCTCAGTCCTGCCTATGGGGCTTTCCCAGTGATGGCTGAGGCCTGTTTTTGCAGGAGCGCTACTGCCTGGCCCTTGGGGAGGAGGAGCTAGCAGAGCTGCGGCTCTTCTGTGCCCAGCGGAGTCGGGAGGCCCTGGGACAGGGAGTGGCCCGCCTGCTGCCTCCGAAGCTGGAAGGACGCACCTGTGAGAAGGTACTTAGTCTCTCTGCCCCACGCACATTTCCTTTCCTTCATTCCTTGCTCTCTCACTTCGCCAGAAAGGGCACTGGGACTCGGTTGGGGAAGAAAGCTAAGTTTAGGGAAAAAGGAAACCAAGTTTGGAGGTTCTTGCTGGAGTCTGCAGTAGGGGAGAAAATTAAGTTGGGACTGGGACTGGGACAGAGGCAAGGCTGAGGCAGGCAGCCGGGAAGATGAGCAGATGACACGGATCTGACTCACCCAGCGTCCCTGCCTGGCAGTGCAGGCAGCGCCTGAAGCCTGGAGAGTATGGGGTGTTTGCAGCCCACGCTGGGGAGTGACGCTGCTGGCACCGGCCCTGCTTTGCCTGTCAGGCCTGTGGCCAGGCCCTGATAAACCTCATCTACTTCTACCACGATGGGCATCTCTACTGCGGTCGTCATCACGCTGAGCTGCTGCGGCCACGCTGCCCGGCTTGCGACCAGGTACAGCCTCCAAGGTTCAGCCTGGCAGAATGTAAGGGGACACCCTCCTCGGCTGAAGCCTCTCCCAGTACCTCAGAGTGGGGTAGGGAGAACTAGCAACCAGCCTTGCACCGCTGTGTTCCTTATGCTTTGGCTTGAGCTCTGGGGAAGTGGAACCTGCTGCCTTTACTTGCACCCTCCCCCACCTCAAGCAGAGTCCCCCGAATTTTCATGGACTCAGAGAATTTCTCTGGAGCAGAGATTCTGTCCAGCTCATGTGCAAATGCTGGTGTTCAGTGAGGGGAGTGGGACCGACTCATAGCGACCCCTCCTTGGGTTTCCGAGGCAGTATCACTACGGAAGTAGATTGCCCAGTCTTCCTTCCGAGGAGTGGCTGGTGGGTTTGAACCTCCAGCCTTCTGGTTCACAGTCAAATGCCTTAGGCACTAGGCTATCAGAGCTAGGAGCTCCCTTAGCGTTCAGTATAAGAGGCAGCAGAGAGCCCAGGGTTGGAAGTCCAGGTGGCTGTGCCACTTGCTAGCTGCTGGAATCTGGCTAAACCAATCAGCCTTCCTTGCATCCCAGAGTGTTTGGGGAAATAAAATGGCAATCTCTTTAGACGTGTTTTAACTGGGTGTAAGGCGTAGTTATTGGATGAATAAATGACGAATGAATGAACCGTTCCCCTCTTCCTCTCCCAGCTGATCTTCTCCCGGCGCTGCACCGAGGCAGAGGGGCGGCGCTGGCACGAGAACCACTTCTGTTGCCTGGACTGCGCCGGACCCTTGGGTGGGGGACGTTATGCCCTGCCGGGGGGTGGCCCCTGTTGCTCCAGCTGCTTCGAGAACCGCTACTCTGATGCGGACTCGAACCCGACCCGGGCGCTGGAGGGAAAGGCGCCTCTCGCTAAGGGAGAAGGTACAGATCAAAAGGGGAGGGGGCGGCAGCTTGGGCTGGGCTGAGGAGGGGGTTTTCCCAGGTGGGGAACTTCGTCCTGGTCCCACGCCGACCTGTCCCTCCAGCAGCGCCCCAGGCCTCCCACCGCACCCCCCAGACCCGAGCCTCGGGGCCCGCAGCTCTCACCGCGCGTCCCTGGCCAGAGCGCTCCTAGGGTCTCCAGAACCCACCCAGCGCCAAGGTCTGGGCTGCAGTGTAGGACTTTCTCCCCGGCGGGGCACGCGGCCGCCCTATGGTGGGCGGAGGCGGAGAGGGGTGGGGAGTTCTGGAGGGAACTCGTGGCCGCGGCGGCGGCGCGCCTGACCCGGGGGCGGGGCGGGAGGCTGAGCCCAGCCGGTTGCTGGCTGCAGTGGAGCGTCCTGGCGGGAGCACTCGGAACTCTCAGCCCGGCGCTTCTGACCTGGCCCGAAACAGAGGGGATGAAGCTCGACCGCAATGAAGGAGGGGACCGCGCCTCACTGAACGCCGTGGCCAACTCCCAAGCAGGCCTTTTCGCAGCTGCCGCCAACTCCTGCCCGAACACTCAGAGGCGGTGTCTTGGACCCAGCCTTGAGGAAGCGTGCCGAGCTGGGGACCCGAGCTCCGGGTGGACGCAAGGCTACCCGGAGACGCCCTCTGATCCCAAGGAGGACACCCCCTGCCCCACCTGCTCCTCCTCTTCTGACTCCGAACCCGACGACTTTTTCTTAGGCCAGCGCCTTCCGCGGCCAGGAAAGATCCCTGGCAGCCTCCAAGCTGGGGACAGCGACGCCTCCGGAAAGCCGTGCATTATTTGCTAATGGTGCAAGCCAGAGTGTGTGTGGGGAGGCGTGTAAAGCGGGAGATCGAAGCTCTCCTCCCCCAATAAAAATCCTAGACGCAATCCGGAGCGCGCTTGGGAGAGGCGGTGAGGTGACTGACTAGGAGTACTCTCCTTACCCCCGTGCGTTCTATGGCTTTTGATGGAAACCCGGAACCTCATCTGCCCACAGGCCGGGACTGCCTCTTCCCCCAGCATCCTCTTCTTGAGCCAATAAATTCATTCCTCGGAGACCACGTGTGATGGTGACCAGCTGGAGCGAGAGGGAGGTGGAACAAGCTGGGGATGATATAGCTGGGCCGCGCTCCTCCCCTTGCAGAGCTTTTGCACGCGCAGCCCCGGAACACTGTCTCCCGGGCCCAGGCCTGGGGGGCAGCGCCCTCTGCAGGGAAGTAGCTGGCGGAAGTGTTGGGCCGGAAGTTGCATAATTCACAGGCGCCAATACCGTGTGTCCTGCCAGAAGGGTGCAGAACGCGAAGGTGCCACTATGGCTTCCAGTGGGGTTGGCGTGAAAGTTGCGGGCTCGGCCAATGAAACTCCCGAAATCCCAGACAACGTGGGAGATTGGCTTCGGGGCGTCTACCGCTTCGCAACTGATAGGAATGATTTCCGGAGGTAACCGAGGTCGTGGCGGGGGGGGGGGGGGGGGGGGGGGGGGGGGGGGGGGCGTTTGGTCCCACTGACCCTAAGTTCCTGTACATCCCTTTCTTCCCTCGGCCTGGCGTCCCCGGACTTTGTACATTGTCAGCATTTACATTGTGGCCTCTTTGTGGCTCAGGCAGCACTTTGTTGAGGTCCTTGACTGGGCAAGTTCCAGAGAATTTCACCATGACCAGGCCGGCCGGGGAAGTGAAGACGTAACAGGCTTTTCTGCTCCAGACCAGTGCTTATCAGTTGGCCTTTGTGTAGGCACAGAAATGGAATGGCCATGTAGGTCTTGAGCAGCCTGCCGTATGGCGATCAAACCGTCCTCTCCACCCCCACCGCTGCGTCCCACAATTCCACAGTAGTGTTTTTGCCTCAGGAAGGTGGTTTTCCCAGGGTGGTGATGGAAAACCTTTATCTTTTGTACACCAAAGACAAGTGATAGAGTGACTATAGATTAATGGGCTATATTCCTTTTTCAGGAACTTGATCCTCAATTTGGGACTTTTTGCTGCAGGAGTTTGGCTGGCCAGGAACTTGAGTGATATTGACCTAATGGCACCTCAGCCGGGGGTGTAGCCCAGTAGGTAAGCATTTAACCACTGCTCTTGTCTTAGGAGTCCTAGCGGCCATAAGCAGCAATAATTTTTTATCAACTGTTCATGAAATATAGGGGAGAGGCTTGATGCAAATCCTTTGGCTATTCCAAGTTGATCCAGATGTTGCAAGGAATTTAGGTCTCTCTTCAATTTCCCTCAGTGCTTTTACATTGCTAATGCCTCCCACTGTCATCTGATTGCAGACACATGGAACCCCTGTGCTGTACTTGAACCTTGCAAAAACAGCCTCCATTTCTGTGACCACCACGGGATTTGCCCTGATGGCAACTGAAGTTTGATTTGGATGGGCACCTTCCCTTTTCTGCTTGGTTTCCTTTTCTTCATTGGATCCACTCAGAACTGTGTTCTCTGGTCAGCAGTCAGGCTTCAGCTAAGGTGTTGCCCACTGTTAAGTTGTGTACATAGCTTCCAGGTTTCTGCAGGGGGTGAGCTCTGCTCTTGTCCTGAACAGTAAATTCGTCATATTTTAAAAGTACTTGAAATAAAGAATGCACACAAAGACAACCATTTTATTCTTTTAATAAGAAACTTCTGCTTACAAAAACAAGGTGTAAAAAGTCAAGATTTACAAAAATCATAAAAACATGATTTATATTTCACACTCAAGAGACAGGAACAAGCCCCCAAACATGGATTGCCATGGAGGTGGCTTGCTTCATTTTCAAAGAAAAAAATAAAGGGAAACTATAACCACCATACATTGATGTTAACATAGGATGAAGCTTATTCTTGAGGAATTTCCATTGATGAGCAGTACTGGAGGAAGAAGCCTTTTGGTGTTGCATAGCATTTTAGTGCATTGGGTGGGTTTTCCAGGCACCGGGGAGTCATTGTTGCTGTAAGAGTGGGATTTGGTGGCAGGAAGAGGGCAGTAGTGTGCAGATGGAGGCAAGATTTAAGTAAGCCTGGGCATTGGGCACTAAAGTGACTTCTGTTTGAGGAAGGTGCTTCCTTCACAAGGAACAGATGTTTTCTGACCCTAACATGGATGGTAGTGCCACTGTCCAGGGGCTTTGGGTTCTTTGGAAGTGGAATATATAAGGAACTGGCATGAGGTGGGGGGATGAATAGAACTGTTTGGTTCAAAATGCCAGCTTCTCTGCCCTCTTCAGAAATGGATATAAATTTGAGTATGTCCGTGGTTCTAAAACCCCATGGCATTTTTTAAAAAATACTGCTTGTATGTGCCAAGTCTCCTATGGAAGTAGGATGTGATTGAAGGACATGACATGAATTGGAAAGGAGAGTCAGTATAAATGCACCACAGTGGCCTAATAGGAGTTTTTGTTACAGCTGACAGATGTCTCTAGCAAGCTGTTCACTAAAGGTAAACAGGACAATCAGTTCTTTTCTTGACCTTCCCAGCTTAAATCTCATTAAGAAAGCTGTTTGAGAGTCACATTTTTAAATACAGTTTTTTTTGGAAACAAACAACCAAAACTATTGTGTTAATCATATTGTGTCTCATGGGTGGAAGAAGCTCGTGTAAATTCAGGCCTGTGGTTAGGTTTACATGAGGCCAAGACCCTTTAGAGTCTACACTGGAACCACAGATGTTCTGCAAAGTTTCATAACTTACTAGGTATAATGAAGAAAGGTCATATACATGAGAACAAGGCTTGGGTTTGAAACCATCTTCCCTCCCTACCCTAAACGGTGATTAAAACTTTTCAGCCATAGCATGTATTCTAAACCCCATCAGACAGACCACTGCTAAGACAAGAAATACCAGCACCTCCTGTTCTTTATAGGAATGAAAGTCACATCCTTAAAGTTTGCTGCCAGAACTGTTCATAATTTTAAACGGTTCTATTTGATAAAAATTGCAAATTTGAAAATTAGGATCCATCAAGAATTAAGACATGGCAGCTTTCAGAACGCATAACTCAAATTTCACTGAAAATTTAATGTTTTAAGTTGTTTTTTTAAACCCAACAGTTGGGTAAGGTTTCATTTAAATTGCCAAGAAATTAGCAGATACAGGTACCAAATGTGTAGTTTTTAAAAATTTGATAAATCACTGATTCTTTACATGAAAGGGCTGACATTCACCATCGCCAACACTTTAACATTCTCACCAACGCAAGTCAATTTTATATCATCTTTCAGCCCTGGCTAGTTTACCCATGATACTAGAAAAGTCTTTTTACATTAGCTACTTATTTTTTAAGTGGAAATATGCCAGCAGAAGTATGGAAAGAGGCCACAAAAAAAGACCCTTGCCTCAATGCTATAGTAGCAGTGATGTATTGAGAACCATGTGTGGGTTGAACAAGTAAGTACACAGTGGTTAAAGTCAAAGCCCTAGACCAAGAGAATGGTTAATTTAACCATGTAAGATATAAACTAAACTCACAGTCATATTCAGAAGGCGCTTTTCAGCTTTAGTGCTGAATTTTAAAAGAATCCGAACCACCTGGGAGATGCATACTTACCCAGTAAAAAACTAAATGGACGTAGGAAGTTTTACCTTAAAGATAAAAACCTCATCTAATTAGGTAAGTAGGCTGAGGGACTCAATTATCAAGTGTGCTTTGAATGGTGAGCTATCTAAATACCCTTTGGTGAAGTCTCATGAGCTCAGTGGAAACCTTAAGGTAAAAGAAACGCTATAAACAGGCCTAGACTGGGTCTCATCACCTCCTTTCCAGGCATGGAACACCACTGTAGTCAACACCTGCCAGGGAAAGGGCCTGGGGAACTAGGACAGTCTTTTGAGTCTTCTCTTTTGCATTTTTCCCCTTAGATATTCCACAGTGAACTGCCATAGAGTCTTGAGGTTCATACATGGGGGATTGTTTTTACACTGCTTCCTGATAATTTGTGCAAAAACTTCCAGATGAACGGAGCTACCATTTAAGGAAGAACCATTCTTTGTTGGACTTCTACCATAAGATGCCCAGTGTTAGTCACTGTATTGATAAAACAAAAAGGCCTTTAAAAAAAAATATATATTTGTGCTCTCCCAACGAGCTAGAAAAGCAGCCCCTCTACTCTGTAAGATAGAACCCTACAATCCTAATAGGGATAGTATGTGTTTGTTTAAGAAGGGGTAGCTCTCCCAGCCTGACTTGAAAAGGCCTGAGCAAATGTTTGGAACATAAGAGGGGTGTAGTGTGAAAGAATGGGGTACAAAGTCTGCCTTATGAAGCAGTCATTTGATGAATATCACAAATACAAAGACTTTGGACATTACAGTAAATCTCAAAACTTGCTGGTTAAGAATAATTTGCATTCACACACATGAGATAGGAAATGCTTTTTAAAAGTCTGTGATACCATATGTCCCTTAAACACTACATAGACCCATTTGCCACTTGAAATGACAAGAAGGAATCCTTTCCCTTAATCTTTTCAATTCCATGCAAACCATAATTGGGTACAAGGCACCAAATTGTCAGAATTGTATAAAATTAGTTCACAAAGCTTTATCGGTAAGTAAAACAAAACTGCATTTTTCTCTTCCCTGCCATCCCACCCACCCCCACCCTCACCCCCACCCAAGTTCTCATTCTGCACTACTGTTGACCTCTCGTGGGCTTACACTGGGGCATGGCCAAGGCTGTGCCCCACTGCCAGCCAGCCCACCTCATTGGTTCTTCCGTTACACTTGGATGGAGTTGCAAGCACAGCCAGAGTAGGGAACTCATACAATCAACTGACTCTGGAAGCCTTGCTGTTAAAAACAAAAATAAACTCTGCTCTTGAGTCCATAGGACACATTAACACTTCTACAGTTTCCAATTTTATTCATGACATTGTAAGAGACATCTGGATATTCTTTACCATGTGGGACTGCCCACCCTCAGCCTGAGAGGGGCTGGATCAAAGCTGGCAAGAGCTCTGCCCACCACTTAAGAGCTTCGGTTCTGAGGGCATTCCTAATTTATTTATTTATTTTTACATTTAGCATGGATACTCATCTTGGAGGGAACCACAAGTATAAGGGTCAGCTAGATTGAGGTAAAATTCTAATTTTTGACGGCCAGGGTGCATTTGTCTAGGCTGGCTACAGCAGAAGGTAAACATGCCAGCCAACTTACAAAGGGTTCCTGGAACAGAACTCATGAACTAATTGCCCTGGGAGAGAAGCAGGCCCGTAAGGTTCCAGTTCAGAAATCTTGGGTTTGATTTGGCAGCATTTAGTCAACTTTTATTTAGATCTTACTTTCTTCCCTTCAGAAAAATTTGATTTAAAGTAAGATGCAACTGAGAAACTCATCTACTTCCAAGATGTAAACAGATGAAAGGCAAAGGGACATTTTCCTCACAGCAGCCACTGGCTTCTGCAGCAGGAGTGCTTTAATAAAAATCCCTTCATATAGTTACTTCTCAACAGCATTTAGTGCTGCTGCCTCTGGGCACCTGAAGTGTCTGTGATGGCAGTGGGAACCCTCACAAGTGTGGAACTCAGTGGGGACTCTTGATACTGGTTTCTGTTCCAACTCATTTTAAACGATGTTATTAATTTGATACACAGGGCCTTGGCTAAATTAAGCACTTGTTTGACACAGTCCTTAATCTGCTTAATAATCCTTATAACATTTGGTATAAAACTATTTTTAAAAATTAAATTTGAAGATCTTATAATTTTCCATTAAATGTTTATTAATAACTTCCCCCTGCACGGCCTGAGGGATGAAGTAGACGCTCTATTAGTTTTCCATCTCGTAAGTTCTCTTTTTCTAGAATAATAAATATAGAATTCAATGAAAGATGAGGCACGATTTATATTTTCCTTTCCTTTTTACTCTCCTTAGGTTTTTTCCCCCAGTTAATGAGTTTTTCTATCACCACAAAACGTCATCACCAATCATGCTGACTTAAAATGTGGATCTAGAGTATAACTTCACAATAGAGCCTCTGGCAGCATGGGCAGCTGTGACACTTTAAAACAGTGTCCAGGAGAGGATGAGCCTGGGGCAAAGCTTGTACAAAGAAGCCTGCAATAGACAATAT